AATGGGTGTCCCTAGCTAAGAGGCCACATGTATGAGAAACACTATTCTAAGTTTTCAACATTTAGCCAATTCATCAGCTGAATCCCTATAAATTAGCCTGCTACATTAAGAGACTTAGATGGCCTAGTCTCAGCCAACTAGTCAATGATATAAACTTAGGAAAAAGAAATACTTATTGTTTGAAATCACTGAGTTTTTGTGATTAATTACCAGGAATAGATGTTTTATTAGTTCCTGGAGTTGTAGATCAGTTGCTAGATTGCTTGCCTAGCATGCATTCCACCCTGGATTTGATCCCCAGCACTGCATAAAGCAGGTATAGTGGTGCCCATCTGTAAACACAGCATTTAGGAGGCAGAGGCAGGAGGATCAGGAATTCAAGGTCATCCTTGACTATATGGTAAGTTCAAGGTGATCTGGGCTATATAAAATCGTATCTTAAAAAAGGGAGGGTATAACTGTTCCTTTCACTCAAACAAAAGGCTGTACATCCTACTAATTTAGAAACAGCATTTTGTACAGGAAGCAGAGTCTATTATTTGTCTTTCCTACATTACTCTGGCAACTCTAGTCCTGGTAAAGATTATGAATTCATTGAATGCTAGAGCTGCAAATGACCTGTTGTTCATCTTACCAATATCCTCAAATTTCTTGAAAATTGAAATGGAATCAAGAGAGTTACTATAATTGATGCAAGGTCTCCAAGGGACGAATGAAGTACAAACTCAAGCCAACCTATTTTGTTGTGGTACCCTTTGGAGGCTGTGGGCCTCCACAGCCACAGGTTTTCCACATCTCAGCCAAGCTTTAATCACTAAAGCTTTTCACTTATTTTTTTCAAGGTACAGTTGGCATGAAATGTTCATAAATACAGTCCAGCTTAATGAGGAATGATCTGAGCATCCAAGAAGAAGTCATTTAATCACCTCAATTACTAAGAAATTCAGTGTATGTACTTTCTCCTGCCCTATTTATAATGATTTTGGACTTTCACTGTGGGCTGCTCTGATGCCAAGACTTCCCCAAACAGATAGGTATGTGCACCTATCTGTTCATACCCCCTCATCTTGAAGTTTATTAGTTGCTGTGGGATGTTCTGTATGTCAAATGTGTTGCTGATTAGTCAATAATTAAAACACTGATTGGCCATTGGCTAGGCAGGAAGTGTAGGCGGGACAAGGAGGAGAATAAAGCTGGGAAGTGGAAGGCTGAGTCAGAGAGACACTGCCAGCCACCACGATGAGAAACAGCATGTGAAGATGCTGGTAAGCCACGAGCCATGTGGCAAGGTATAGATTTATAAAAATGAATTAATTTAAGCTGAAAGAACAGTTAGCAAGAAGCCTGCCATGGCCATACAGTTTGAAACCAATACAAGTCTCTGTGTTTACTTGGTCGGGTCTGACGGCTGTGGGACTGGCAGGTGAGAGAGATTTGCCCTGACTGTGGGCCAGGCAGGAAAACTCCAACTACAATTAGTCTTACACACACCCTTTCTTCTACTGGTTGAATGGTCAAAAATTTTTAGTTGGAGGGTATGATCATTCCCAAGACTTATTTGCAGGAAAAAATGTCATTTGTGGTATCACACAATGTGTGGAGGACCAAAGTCAATCAGAACACAGGTCTCAGAGCTCTACTATAACATAATTTTAGCAGATGGTGATGTAAATTTTCTTTGCTGAGTAGTTAAGAAGAGTGTGGATGAAAAGGAAAATTCTGAGAGCTGGATTCAAAGCCTCTGAATGCAGGTATACCGTTTTCCCAGTGCGAATTGATAGTTAAGAGACGGATATGTACCATAGTGCAAAATTTATAATGGTCAGCAGCAATGAAAGAAAAGTGTTTGGTGTTAATTGTCTCTTAATCAGAGACCAAACTGAACTTCATCTCATGACAAAGAAAAATTAACTGTTTTGTTAATTACTATAATTATCCCCCCACATTTGTTTTGACAGCCATGTCAGTGGTGGAAAACAATCTCCTTAAATTGCCTCTTGCCTCTTATGACTCACAAGTTCATATAGTTTTGACAAATGATTTTACTCTATCCTTTACACTTGCTTTGGGGTCTTTTGCAACCTGACTCTTCAGAAAAATGCCGTGGTGAGTGAAAGGGTGAGGGGCAGAGGGACAGTGAGGAAAAGAGGGAAGGGGAGAGGGGAGGGGGTAAGGGAGATCATTTTTATAGAAAAGACTATGTGGCACCGTACTAGGCCTTGGAACCGCCTCCCAATCATATGGAGTCTCATTCTTGTCTCCCTTCCTCTCCCCTCCACTCCCCTCCCCTCCCTTGTCTTTCCTTTCTGAGACGATTCCAGCACCCACATAGAAATGCCTGGGTGGGAAGATGGTGATATGTAGGAAAGGGGAAAGGAGGACTGGGGATGGATTTGTTCAAACACATTGTATGCATTTGTGAATATTAAATAAAATGTTTAAAAATAAACAAAGCAAAAACACCCCCTCCCCACCAGTGCCAGGTGTGGTAGCATGTGCTTGCAATTCCAGAACTGGGAAGCAGGGACAGGTAGGTCCCTGGGGCTCTCTGAACAGCCATTCGAGTCTAATTGGTGAGCTCCAGGCCAATGAGACACCCTGTCTTAAAGGAGGTAGATGATGTTCTAGATGACTTCCGTTACTGTTGTCTAGCTTCTACATGCATATATGTGCATGTTCCCCAACACCCAAACACACACACATCCATATGCACACACACACACACACACACACACACACACACACACACACACACACATCCATATGCACACACACACACACACACACACACATCCATATGCACACACACACACACACGCACGCATATGAACAATAAAGAAACTAAATGAGCACAAATAAGAGAAAGAGCCAAGAGTTCTGACTGAATCGTAAGGAAAGATATCATTTGCTAACTTGAACACTTTAGTTTCTGGATAGGCACAAGTCTGAAGGGTTGGCTGCCTGCAGATCTTCCCAAAGCACAAATGCTTCATTAAAACGCTATGCCCCTAAAGTAGCCTCATCCCACCCAACTTAATGAAACAGAGAAAGCACAAGTGAGTATCAAGCTTAACAGCTTCTTTTTATTATGATGGAGCCAGTGACATTCCCTCATGTATGTATTCATCCATCTATCAGGCAGTATTGGAACCTACTACATGCCACGCATGTTGGTAGGTTTGGGGTGGGACATGTTTTGTCTTCCCATGCTCTCAGAATGGAAGACACTTCAGAGGAAAGCTCGTGAACAAAGGAGTCTAGATCATTATTTTAGGTCTTATTTGGCCCCTTTTTAGTAAAAATCGTTATGTCTCACTTATTAGTTATAGGCAGATCAAGATGCCTTGGTTAGGAAACCTTTGCGCTGGAGAAATTACCACCACAAAAGAAAAGATTTAAGCTTAGAGTTGAGCGTGTACTGCCATGACATATTAACATCTCAGGTGTACCTCATTCATACTGGGGAGTGGAGCTGAGGAATTGATAAGATTTGCTTAAAGAAGTAGCCCCTCACTGGTCCTGCAGACCCAAAGCTGCAGGATTTCCACAACACAAGGCAACAGCAGGATAACCAAAGGGCGTTCCAGTGAGGGCCCACCACCGACAGTGTAGTAGAAACCAGAGGCCTCGAACCAGACCAACGACTCTCTGCAATGGACACTTGCGTGTAAAGATATATGTACAAAGGATTTTTGTGTGGTTCACTGTGTCACACTGCAGCTTCCATGACAAGGTCTATTTTTTCCTTTGCTTTTTTTCCCCTTCTCTTAACTTTTATTTTATTTTATTTTAGGGGGGAGGTTGCAAGGGTAGAGGGCAGATACAGAGGGATGGAGAAATGAATGGGATGGAGATACATGATGTGAAAGACACAAAGAATAAATAAAAAGGAGAAAAAATAAAGTAAGTTTAAAAAAGTGCCCCCATAGATACTCTTTTTTATTTTTTGTGTATGAGTGTTTTGCCTGAATATATGTATGTACACCACATGCATACAGTGCCTGTGGAGGCCTGAAGAAGGGACCAGATCCCTGGGAACTGGAGTTACAGATGGTTGTGAACCACCAATGTGGGTACTGAGAATGCAACTCAAGTCCTCTGGAAGAGCATCAAGTTCTCTTAAGCACTGAGTCATCTCTCAAGCCCTCATATTAACCTTGATGTTAGTATGATTTGATGTCTAGAGCAGTACTACAGACAAAGAGGACTCCATGAGTCTCCACAGAACCTCCATCCTGATAGAGGTGCTCTATTCATAAGAATGTTAGGATCAGTGTCTTCCAGAGGTCCCCGATGCTCTGCAAGGCAACAGGGAACTTTCTGTGGAGTACTTGGCTTGTTCATGTAGGCAAGTCAATCAGTTTCTCCAGCCTGTTGGAAGTGCGATGGGGTTTGTACTGTTCTGTGGTTAGCTTTCACTTCCATTATTATTACTGATGCTATCAGTTAGAGATGCTGAGCAAATGTTTTCTTCCTCCCTAGTGACTCAAAGCAAAGGGGAGTTTAAAAAAAAAAACAACTTTAAATTGCCCAACACTGAAAATGCGATGATGTCAGATCCTTGATAAATACATGGCATTTTCATCTGGAAGATTCTTGTTTTCTAAGGAATTACTTTTTGTTGTTGCTGTTTCTAAGTAGGTCTGCAAAGGATTGAAAAGGTAGATAATTTTCAGTTAAAGTTTCCTTGGATTTTTTAAAAGAGATTTTTCTTGCACATTTTGCACATTTTATACATTTTACATTTAATATACTCACGGAGGCAGTTCTGGCTTATCTATGAGTAACTAGGCTCTACCTTGGCTCAGACACTCCTAAATCCATCTATTTTAAGAATTTTAAAGTGCCTCTTATCATTTCAGAATTCAGATTTGAAGTCTGAGAAAGGAAGAGAGAGCTTCATTCTTGGCCCCAGTCCCATCCCGAACAATACGAGGTTTATATGGAAGTTCAGAGAATGGATTTAGGATGGGGATAGATTTTATTTTAAAATGACTTACATTGGCTCACCTTTCCTTCTCCGTGAGCAAGCAAATGGTAGTTTTGCAACAGTCGTCCTCGATGAAGAACACATCGATTGTGAAAGAAACGCTCAGCTCTTACCGGATCTCTTTTAATAAAAGTCAAATTATATCTCACTTGTTTTGTAGGAAGACTAAGAGACTTTGCTTAGAAACCCTGGTGAATAGAAAAAAAAATCAGGAAAAATATGAGCCCATTTGTCTTCTGACATTTCAGAAACTTACCCACTCAGTTTGGGAAGGGGTGGGTTCAGGAAGGATGGCTGTGTGTTTGTAGCGCCCCGGAAACCAGCACTTGGAACGCCTTCATCCCTGTGAAGAGTTTAGGCATTCTTTAGGCTGCTGACTTTCCCTTGTGTTCTGGAGGCGTTCTTTTTGTTTTTTGTTTTTTTGTTTTGGTTTTTCTTTCTTTCTAGAAATTGACTCTACTGTGAGGTTGTAAAGATCACGTATACCTTCCTTCCTTAAGGGCATTGCTCCATATGATGCTCTCAGTTCCCTTTACAAAGCAAAATGTAGCACAAGGGGCAGCAGACCCTCACTTCACCCCCAGTGTCACTGTGAGAGCAAGGCTTAAGACTTCACCCCACCAGGGGAATGCTGAAGAGCGCTTCTCTCTCTCCCAGGTCGCCTTTGTGGGTTCTGTGGCCTCACCTTGCTTGCTGATTGCTCCCAGTGGACCCTGCTTCTGGGCAAAGCCACACATGCTCACGGCCTGATTCCGTCTTTCACGTGTTCGCTTTTCTGCTTCATTGTAGCTCTTCTTCTACAGACTCCATTTTCAATAAAGTTTTTCTTTAGTGATGTGTGAGAAAGTGTCCTTTTGTTTACCCCATTGTTTGTCTGTCTCTTTGCTGTTTCCACAGGGCCGTTTCAAACCATCGTTTTGAAAGGTCACTCACTCCCTTCTACAGGCAGTGGAGCCCAACAATGGGTTAATGACACCCGAACAAGCCATATTAAAATTATATCCTGTATGATCATAAACAGCTCTTGAGTACAAATAGAAGAACTTAAGTGTCTTCAAAAAAAAAACCACTGAAAATATTAGTTAAAATGTTAAAGTATATTAGCCAATTACACAAAATCCTTTTATATTGCCTTGCTTCATTTCAAACATGGCATGGGCTATTTTGTCTGTGAACTCAAGTGGAACAAAAAGCTACAGAATGCAATTTGTGTCAGGAACTGGACTACAGAAGGACAACTAATTCTAATTAGTACGAATTCCCCACAGGCCAGGGGGAGGCCAAGTGCAGGAACCAACCGCCTAATGCTGTTTCTATCTTGCAACAGGTGGGCCAAGGCCTTCTAAAGGTTGTCATGGCAATAGCTAATGGCAGACCTTTGGCCGGACACCAGTAATTAATTGCAGGCATGTCCAGCCTTTGAATGTGATATCTTTTAATACAGTTCTGAAATAAAAGAAGGCTGGCTCTTCTAATTGGTTAAAATTCAAACAGCAGAAGGCTTTGCAGGAACCCCTGCAGTATAATGCAAGTCCCATTCCAGCCTTTCTAACTTAGAAGCTTTGCTGCACATGGGAGTGAAGAGAAAGGTATTCACTTGAGATAAAGTTAAGGTTCTGTTCAGTGTAGACTCAAGAACAAAGCCTTCACACAAGGCACCAAGGCTGTGTGCAAGGCCTTGAAGAAACACACCTTTCAAAAATCTGACAAATTATCAAAAATGCTCATCTAATTTTCCATGCCTGAGTGTTACAGCTTGTTGGGGAGGCATCATTCAGTTAGACATCTTACGTGACAGCCTATACTTAGAGAGTGGTCCCTGAGCACTTCTTGGCTTGGGGAATGTAGCCAAGAGCTGGGTAGCAGTAGAGGTGTTTGTAGAGTAAAGGGACCAAAGGAGGACAGCTGTGCTCTGTGCCCTAACAGAGTCCTCTGTTCAGCTCAGACCCAGGGCACCTCCTCCAGTACTTCTGAGAAGTCCTTATGGGTACTCAAGTCCTGCATTGCTGGCTACTTGGGAAGTGGGGCATGATACATTCTAAACAAAGCCTAATAACAAGGTAGAAAGATATGCTTCTTCTTCTTCCCCTTCGGACTTGAAATTGTGCTGCTGTACCTTCTGGGATGGTAAAAAGAACAAGCCTGCCAGGACTGATAGAACCGACTCTCACCGCATGGCAGGCCTTCTGCTAGCTGTTCTGCGTGCATTACCTCTGTACCATTATTTTTTCTCCTTCAAGGAGCAGGAGACTGAAGCTTAGGGAAGTTGATGTGTCCACTGTCTGCTAGACAGTGATGGGAGAAGTAGCATCCTATACCAGGCCTGACTTAGAGAAATCCATGAAAACGGTGGGTTGGTTTGTGTTCATTTAGGACTGAACACAGCCTGTCTGTCCTATTTTCTTTTGTTGTTATTGTTATCTTAATTGATGTACTGGGGTTGCGTCTAGGGCTTCATGCATACTAGGCAGTTATTGCACTACTGGTTTATATCCCCGGCTCTCTGTTTCACTTTTTATTTTGCTATAGGGTCTCATGAAACTTCACAGGTAGCCTTAACTCAATCAGTAGCTCCCAAAGATCTTGAACTTGTAATCCTCTTGTATTAGTGTCCCAAGTAGCTGGAGTTATAGGCCTGCGCCATCCGGCCTGGTACCCATCTTCTCTTTGGAACTACTCAACCCAAAGCACATTATGTAATCTTTGAGCCTTTAGTTCTGCATCCTGCACCTTTGTTCCTGAACTACAGCCCGATTTATTGAAACAATTTTTTTAAAAGATACCTTTTATTAGATGCTTAGATTTGTAATTACAGGATCATTTCCCCCATCCTCCCTTTCTGTTCAACATATGGGCATGTAGTTACTAATTTCTCTTTTTCTAATGGTAAAACAAGGAAGGAGCTGTCCCCCTCCTCACCGCATGAGCCAAACTATATTTGAAAATTTCCAGTGGCTTTGCTTCTCATGTTTGATGTTTTAAAACAATCACATTAGTGGGGGAAAAAAAAATCAGATTTGGTCCATTCTGAGAAATGGGTGTTTTTAAGTTCTTAGCTTCCAAACAAAAAGCTGTTGAGTTATATATTTGTGTGGACTAACCTGTTTTCATGTGGACTGCAGCTTTTCCTAAATGAATTCCTTTTGGCTTCAGTGAGGGAGACTAACTTCATCGGAGTGTTCTGAAGAGGGCTCCGTTCCTCCGGTGAGCCCTCAGAAACACCATTGTTGTTTTCCACCATCCAGTGAACAGGAAGTCTAAGGGGAAGCAAAATTAAGGCATTTTCAGCAACGATGTCCCTGAGCAAATGTCTCAGTGTAGACAGTTCTTTGACCCTCTTGTCACAACAGATGGATCTGTGACAGACTTCCACACTGAGACATGACCTGTCCCTACGCTTTTTTGTGTATATATGCTGTCATTACTTACACATACTCCAAGTACCTACTTCCTGATGTTGCTAAGAAAGTCAGCTAATAACAGGCATGTCAAAAGGGGGACAGTTTTTGCCCCCTCCTCCTTTTTTAAACATGTGGAGAATTCCTGGGACATGGGTACAACAAGAAAAACTCTTTAGGATGCCATTACTTTCGTGGCTGGATTCCCCATGGATTTATTTTTGTCTAACAATGGGACAGGAGATGCTGCGCAGAGCTGTAACCTCCCCCACACCATGATGAGAATTGCTTTCCTAATAAAATGCTTCTATCGTGACCTCCCCAGATCTTTTGACTCTTATTGCTTAGGTGGAACTGGAGGCTAAAGCATGGCTTCTTTTAGCAACACATTTGCATAAGTTGATCTGAACGTTCCCCATGCGATTCCATGACTCCAGGGCTGGCCTGTCATCTCGGAAAAGCCTGAGGTACTCAGCCCAAAGAGATCAAAACTCAAGAATTAACTAGTCTTCATAAAATGAGAACATCTCCAGGAACAGTACAACAAATGATTATCATTTCTTCTTGGCGTTGGACTATGCCAAGCTAGAGAAAAACAGAGCTCTCAAACGTTGACAATCTGGTATATTGAAGTATGACCATTATTTTTTATTTTCCACATTTTTGGTCCAAAGACAGTTCTGAGTAATTGATTCCCATAATGAGCTATGGTTCGTTAGTCAATTTAATTTATAATTGAATTGGATGGATGTAACTCTGTGTAAAATTGTCTCTGAAGAATCTGTTTTGTTCGTCTGTTCAACTTCTGACAGGGATGGAAGAAAATCTAAATTATTCCCTCCTGCAACGGGGAAAAATTCAGAGTCTCAGCTTCCCCGGTGAAATTAAGAGAAAAAATATTTTTAATAGTTGCCATGCAAAAATATTATGGCTTTACTAAAATTTATACAAGCGTGTCAATTAACACATTCACGGCAAGGACAGTGGATTTGGGAATCTGTGTAAATGCCTGAGGCAAAGACCTTGCTGAGTCCCAGGAAGCATCCTCGTTATTAGAATGAGCACCAGGTCTCCCGGCATCTATCATCGTTGGTTATTGACAAAGATAGTCCTATTGCTACATAAATACACCAGGAAAACAATAGCTCTAATTCTGCAGGTGTTGCGCAATTACCACGACTTGTATTTTCTATACATTTTCAATAATGCTATAATTTGGGAAACAATTATTAAAATAACCATGTAGCATTTTCATTTTTTCCCCCCAGTTTGAAAGCCTGTCAGGGAAATTTGAACTTTAATTGTGAACAATAGGCTTTCGTTTTTGCTCAGAGATTTCCCCTTCTTCCTGAAGCCCTTCACATTTAAAACTTTTACAACCGTCTTAGCACACACTCAAAACAAAGCCATAATTATGTAAAAAGAAATGTTTTACAGTTAATGCCATCTAAGACACTCACCAAGTGCCAAAATGCATAGGATTTTGGTAAAAGGCAATCTGTTCTTTGAGGATAATACATGCAAACTACTCTTGTGTGAAACCTGAGGCAGGAGGCAGGAATAGTATACTGCCTTAGCTCACACCTATGGAGCTGACTTTGATACCATGCCCAGAAGTGGGTTACAGGCTGTGATTTGAATGCAGTTTAATCATTTTTAGAAGCGAAGGGCCGTTAGGGTACTCTTGTTCCATAAGACGTATTACATCTAAGAAAGATGAAGGCATAGGCTTTATTCTTCCTCGTTAACAATGGTAATGATCCCTAATGATGGACTGTTGTATGAAATCCACTGACTGGGAAGACAAGCTAGATGAAAACAGCTGTCTTTTCCATTGTCAGCCCTGCTCTTCTGTGGACAAAGAGATCATGGATTCCCATCCCAGACTCCGATGGAGAAGGCATTATGTCACTGTATGGCCATTGCCATTTCTATGGGCTTTAATTTAATCCCTTGCAAATGTTAAAAATATATATTTTACTTAGTTATAATGATATGAATAAATGAGGTTTAAGTAAGGCGGGTCAGGATCTAAAGTCCAAATGTTACAGTTCTCGAGAGGTGAACCTTTCACAGTCTCTCTTCTCCCCTGTACTGTCTGTTCTCTTCCCTTGTCCTTTGCAGGGTTTTAACTGTTTTTTTTTTAATTACTGACACAAGCAGAAGATATTTTATTTGGAAAAAATACTGTCCAAATGAGCCATGTTCAACCTAACACTCTGATTGTAAACAAAGCAGGACTTGGCTTTATCAGGTAAACAAAATCAACAGAGATCTCTGAAACTCATAATTGTAACATTCCTCCTCAGGGATTTTCAGGGAGACTCATCTTCTGTGTAAGTCAGGTATGTAAAATGGATTGGAAGTGAATCCAACAGCATATTCAAAGCCACATCAATCAT